TTGAGTAAAGGTTTAACTACAGCCAGCTTGAAGGCCTGTGGTACATAGCCGATTATTAGAGATAGGTTGATCATATTTAAGATTGAAGCATTAATTAATGGCAGGACTTCTTTGAGGACGCCAGGTGGGCACAAGAGGTGAAGGGAGCCACCAGGCTGAAGAAGGAGTCCCATCGGGCTTGGTTAGCCTGTGGGACTCCGGAGGCAGCCGACAGGCACCGACAGGCCAAGCAGAACGCGGTGCAGGCAGTGGCTGAAGCAAAAACTCGGGTGTGGGAGGAGTTTGGAGAGGCCATGGAAAAAGACTTTCGGACTGTCTCGAAGAGATTCTGGCAAACCGTCAGGCGTCTCAGGAGGGGAAAGCGGTGCTCTACCTGCACTGTGTATAGTGCTGGCGGAGCGCTGCTGACTTCGACTGAGAAAATTGTCAGGCGGTGGAAGGAATACTTCGAGGACCTGCATAATCCCACTGATGCGTCTTCCGAGGAGGAAGCAGAGTCTGGGGATGAGGGGAATGACCCGTCAATTTCTGGAGGCGAGGTCACTGAGGCAGTTAAACAACTCCTTGGTGGCAGAGCCCCTGGTGTTGATGAGGTCCGCCCCGAGGTCCTGAAGGCTCTGGACATGTAGGGCTGTCCTGGTTGACACGCCTCTACAATGTTGCTCGGAAATCAGGGGCAGTACCCCTGGACTGGCAGACCACGTGGTCCCCATCTTTAAGAAGGGGGACCAGAGGGTGTGTTCCAACTACAGGGGGATCACACTCAGCCTCCCTGGGAAAGTCTATGTCAGGGTGCTGGAAAGGAGAGTCCGTCCGCTAGTCGAACCTCGGATACAGGAGGAACAATGCAGTTTTCGTCCTGGTCGCGGAACACTGGACCAGCTCTTTATCCTCTCAGGGATACTTGAGGGTGTATGGGAGTTTGCCCAACCAGTCTACATGTGTTTTGTGGACTTGGAGAAGGCATTCGACCGTGTCCCTCGGGGTGTCCTGTGGGAGGTGCTGCGGGAGTATGGGGTGTCTGGCCCATTGCTACGGGCCATTCAATCCCTATACAACTGTTGCAAGATCTTGGTTCGCATTGCCGGCAATAAATTGGCCTCGTTCCCGGTGGGTGATGGGCTCCGCCAGGGCTGCCCTTTGTCACCGATTCTGTTCATAATTTTTATGGACAGGATTTCTAGGCGCAGCCAAGTGGCGGAGGGCTTTCACTTTGGTGGCCTCAGAATCTCATCTCTGCTTTTCATGGATGATGTGGTTCTGTTGGCTTCATTGGGTGAGGGCCTCCAGCTCGCACTGCAACGGTTCACAGCCGAGTGTGAAGCAGCGGGAATGAGGATCAGCACCTCCAAATCTGAGGCCATGGTTCTCAGCCAGAAAAGGG